ATTAAATATATAATATATATTTTATATATTTTTAAAAAATTTACAACTGCAGTTACTTATTAGTCTCGTCAAATTGAGCTTAAAAATTGGCCCGCAAAATGCAATTCTAATAGCGTTTTTGGTTTAGGAAATCGGAAGGAGAAGGGAGGGACGGTAAAATTGGACACGAAAAATAATAATGCATTTGTTTTTTTCCTTAACACTTGCAAACAAAATATTTTAAAATAGAGTGAGTATGAATATTTCGTGAAAGTATGGGGATTTCCGTTTCTCTTTAATCCTTTTTTTTGGGGTAAAATTCTCTTTAATCCTTTACATTCCTTCTGTAACATTTATTTTTTCCATGATTGATGGCAATTTGAATTCCTCAAGTAAAATTGTTAACGTTTTTGTTTCTAATCTCATCCACCTCTAGAAATGAAACCGAAGAGGAAATTAAAGAACCTTCCGATAGTCATATATAGTAGTGAAAGGTTATCCAATTGAAGACAAAAGCAAAGCCGTAGAACTTGCCAATCACCTTAGTAACTGCTTCATTGATCATCAGGAGTTGGGAACTTAAGAGCATTCGCCACATACGTCCTCTTGCTCTTCACTATGGACGTGGGGAAGATGATCTAGATTATGAAGATTCCCAATGTAATTTTTGTAACAATGGCAGGAACCCAGAGAACTGGGTTTACGTCTGTGAAGAATGCAAATGTTTAGCTCATGTTGCCTGTGTAGACCTGGTAAATAGGTTAGGTTGGATGGGTTCAGATTGGATCATCTTGGATCTCGAGTTTTTCGAATTAAGTCATTTTAGGTGTCACGTTAAAGGGATCTAGGGTTAAAGGCGTAGACTTATGACCTATGTATGACCTAACTACATGAGTCTTGGATTAGGTCAGGTAGGCTCAACTTAAAAAAAAAAATAAAAATTAAAAATAAAATTTTTTCATATTTTTCTCTATTTTTCTTCAAAAAAGTTTAATACTAATTAGTTATTTAGTTAGAAAACTCTATTAAACACTCATTTTTATTTCATAATTCAATTTCATTTGGATCTCATAAAAAGAAAAGAGAAAGATTATTGATTAGATAGGTGAAATTAAAATATATGTTAAATATATAATACCTATATAATATTTAGAATTGATAATTTTGTAAATGTATTAATATTCATTAAAAGAAGAGACATGAAGCATTAAAGTTCAAAAGACAAATCCAACATATAAGTTAATATCTAGTCCCAATTCAATATTTGTAAAGCTATTATACAAAAAATTGTACTTCATTCAATATTTAGAAGGGTGTTATACAAAAATATAGCCTTGTTCAATATAAAAGTTCAAAGGCAAATCCAAAATATATCTAAACAAATACAAGAAGAAACTGGATTGGAATTGATTTTTATTAACTAGGAACAAATTATTAATTAAGAACAGTAAGTAGGAACAAATTAGCAACTAAGAACTAACCTTAATGTTCTTGTCTTGTACTTTTAATGGTCATGAAGGTACTTGTTTCCTCAAAAAGCCTTAGTTAGCCCTAATCACGTGAGTTTAGGAATAAGGCGTGCCACTTATTTTGTCTAAAAACAAGAAAATAGGATTTTCCAAACAACCCTTCTCTTTTCCAACGATCGGCCTCCAAAAGAATGGTTAGAAAGAACGTCTGTGAACTAAATTGTACCCCAGAGGATGTTGCAAAACAAAGGGTAAAGTTTTGCAAAATAGGTTAATAATTGCCTTAAACACCTCTAAGGACTTCAAAACCGCTAAAGTGTAACAAAAGTTACAAATCCTAAATTAAATGCAATATCCCAAGGCAAATTATCCTAACACGAAATCAATAAAAGAAAACAACATACCACAAAAATAAATTCATAGACAACAAACTATATAAAATTGGAAATAATGATTTTAACTACGTAATCCACAATGATTAAACTAATTACTTGTAGGTTTAAAATAAAGATAATTGAACTACTTAATTGCTACAGGTAAAAGAGAATTTACGAATTGATTAAAATTTGAAAACTTGTAAAATTAAATCCTAATCTAGAGATTAAAATTAAACAAACTGTAAGTTTGACAACTATGCAAAACAAAAAAGAGAAGACAGAAAGCATTCAACTCATTCACATAAATAAATAGGGGACTGATTCATACACCCATCGGATTAATACCTAGTGGGTTACCCTCCTTTAAAAAATATATTTAAATATATTTATAACCTAATGAAGAATAAGAGTTGAATATCTTAACCCTGTAGTCTTTCACCCAGCCATACTGTATTTTTGATTCCAAACATACAATTACTCGATCCCTTCCTTCTTCGATTCTTTCATTGTTTCCTTGTCTTCTCCAGCACCGTCACCACTGTTGGCCACTACTTTTCCTTGCTTCTTCCTTCTTTCTTTTTCTTCCTCCCTTTTCCTTCATTCTTGTTCTTTCTCTTCCTACAACTCCATCTATTCCCTTGCTTCTCCATAGCAAAGAATCCAAAAAATCGGGGTACTCATCACACAATTTGGGTACACATCACTCGCTAGTAACCATTGATTTCATCCCTTTGGATCTAGTTTTTTTTTATTCTATCAGATTTGAAAATTTTCAATTTTTTTTTTTTTGCTCTAGCTAGCACCTAGATCTAAACTCTTGGATCCCAGAAACACCAAACTACCTAATCCCTCTCCCTCCCATGAAAACCACCTCGTTTTCCCATCACTACATCCTCCTTCCTTTAAAGCAGCACTGAAACTAGCACCACCATTTCAATTTATTCCCCACAAAGATCCATATTGCTGAAATGTTGAGGTAAAGAGATTTGAGATTCATTAACCTAGTAAGATGAGGGATTTATTATGCAATTGAAAATAGGAAAAGTATTAAAAATTAACAGAAGTTGTAATTTTTGAAGAAAAACATGAATAAGGATGGAAAAATCTAAATTAAAGTTATGAACAAAAGCATATCTTACATTTTAATATGGAAATTATATTGAAATATAGAAGAAAAAGTTTGAAAATTAAAGATGCGTATGAGTTGGGTAGTTTTTCTGTAGGGCAGGCCATGCGTCTATGCATGTAGAACTTATTTTTTCCTCGCTTTCTTCTTTTCTTTGCTGTTGGATGGTTTCCCCCATGATCCTTGCTTCTGCCCCCATAAAAATCTACATGAAGAGGGCCACGTCTAATTGCAATTCCTTCCTATCTAGCAACTAGTCGTTACTCTCAAATGAATCTCTAATAAAATCTAGACAATCTAGACAATCTCTCCTAAAATCTCTTCACAATCCCTCAATTAGGTTAAATTTTAACCACTTAAAAGTTTTACCTTAGACTCTAACTACCCTATCATAACCCATTTGGTGTGAAGCCCAAATCCCTTATGGGCTCAACGTAGCCCATCACAAAAAATGTGGCCCAATTAGTTCTAAACCAGACGTGGCTTTTCTCTCTTTTAATTTTTTTAGGTGTAAACAATACCCCAAACACTGGTTATGATTTTTAATACACATTCTTGCATCTTGTTATAAAAAAAAAAAAAAAATCTTTTTGATGATGTTACGTGATGCAGCTCATTATGTGTCACTTAATTTGATTTTTGATGTGAGTGCCACCAAAGAGAAGGATTAGAGAGCTTGAGGCGAAAAAGGGGAGAGGGAGAGGGAGAGTGGAATAAAGGAAAAGTTGAGAGGAAATGAGATTGACAAAGGCTAGGGTTTGGGTATTTTATTTATTTTTACTTTTAGGATTAGGAAATTAGAAATTTAAAATTAATTTTTAAGTGATCTCATAAAAAATAAATAAATAAAGTTTGGGAAATTTTAGATGACTTAACCCACTTGTGACCCAACCCATTTAGGTTCTAGTACTTTTAATTTAAATAATTTCAGATTTCGAATTAATATATAAAACTTATAACACAACCCATAACAGATGAATTGGGCTGGGTTTTTTGGATTGGGTTCAATTTTACCAGGTTTATGCCTGTGCAATATGACAAAAAGGAAATGTTTATCTTATTTCTGTAATTTGCAGGTCCGAGAATTGTGTGTGATATCTTTTCTGGCAACTATAAACATACGTTTCAGCAGAAATTTTGGCTTAGTTTATTTTACTTTCTGTGAAGTGGGGTATACCTTATAGGTACTGTTTCCTCAAAAATCCTCTAGTGGCCTTGCACGTGTGAAATCTGATGCGGGCGTGCCACTTACTTTGCTGAAAGTAAGAAAGGAGGATTTTCCCAACGACCCTCTCCTTCCTCACGGTCGACCTCTTCGCAAATGGCGGGAAGAACGTTGGATTAAAATGAAATTTGCGCCTTCAGACGATTTGCAAGAGGGAGGGATGCCTTCCTGCAGAATGGGTTACGAAATCTGCCTTGGACAACTCCAAGGACTTAAACACTACCGTGACTTAAAATTAACAAATCCTAATTACTCTAAATTATTTGCAATTTAAAATAAACTTGCGAGAAA